ACTTCTCAGCGCCAGGGCTGAAAACCATCAGGTCATGATGGTTCATCTCAGACCGGCAGGAAGCACTGAGCTCTCCAGCTGTAAACTCTATTGCTCTGCTGAAGGACCCTGAGATTTGGCTTCTGTCCTGCTGGGACCCTGGCAGGCCACATTTAATAAGGAGTGTGTGGATGGCCAGATGGAACCACCCTCCCGCCACGCTCTACAACTCACTCTTTCTGGAGGAGTGGAAAACAACAGAGGCATTCCTTTTAAAAAATGCATAAAGAAACACAGAATAAATATGCATTGCCGAACAGGTGCTCAGACGGTGGTGGTGACCACGGGATACCCTCACTCCTCCAGGCTCAGCAACCCACGCCTGGCAGGGTCCTGAGTGGCCTGAGCTTGCCCCTGCTTGGAGGACTGCCCATCTCATGATGTGGAGAAGTTATGGCTGTGCTGTGGTCAGGACCATCTCAGGCACAATCCCAGAGGAGTGAAGTGCATGCTCAGAACAGGGCGTTTGTGAGGGAGCTCAGATGTGTAACAGCATCCAGAGTTAGTACCCAGAGGGGCTCTTTCTGTGACAGGGAGAATTCTTCTGTGACTTGTGGATGTGCCTTATAGGCCTCTTGAATGATGCCCTCTTGCGCAGACAGCCCCTGTCCCTCTGTCTGCCAAAGGACGCACTCACCTTTCACCTCATTTGCCTGACCTGTTCACCACGAGGAACACTCTTGGTCAGTAAGTCTGCAGAGAACTGCCCAGCCCGCTGTGCATCTGTGGACAGATCACTGCCTGCCTCCTGACCCTGCTGGAGCCATAAACCGATGTGCACCTGGAGTGGGACAAGATGCCCACTTTGGACAAACATGGTATCTTTTAAATTAAACTTCTTTAAAATGAGCAGACTGCCTATTTAATGTGAGGACAATTAAGAACATTTATTTCTCCCGAATAGTGGGATTTTGTTCCCATCATCGTGCTTTGATAGCATATGACCTGGGAAACACAAGTAAGCTGGAGGGTGCCTGCGCCTGCCCCTGACTCAGCCTGTGGCCACCTCGCTGGGCACCACTTAGCTGCCTTCGTGTGTCACCTGGCGCGCAGTGTGCTTTTCTGCTTGTGTGTCTGCTGTAAAGACACTGCCTATTTTAATTGTGGCCTTCTGACACAGGCAAGTGGTCTGCAACAAGAAATAACATGAACAACCCCCTAAAAAGGGGGGGGGGAGAGAGAGAGAGGATGAAGCTAGATGCACTAAGTGAGAAAACAGTGTTCAAGGCAAGACAGTGATCGGGAAAGCGGCGGCCAGCGCTCCCTTTGTCTTCTGAGCTAAGGCCCTTACGGCAAATCCAGCTTCTCCCAACAAGCATCTCCCCCTACTCTCCTGCCCCCACCGTCACGAAGAGTATGTTCTCCTTCTCCTCAGTTTGCACAAAGCCATGGGGCAGGTGAGCAGGCTTTGGCTTGCTCTGTCATTTCTCCTGAACACATCTAATTCCTTGTCTCACTTTCTCCTGAGTCACGTACAGACGTTTCTGTGAAGGGGCTTTCTCTCCACACGTCTCAGTGTCTCTTGCAGACTTCCAGGAGGTCCCACCCGGCAGTCTGGTCTGCTTGGGTGTCAGGTGAGCTGGAAAAAGGAAGTCTTCACCACCACCCAAGCCTTCTGAATGGGGCCTGCCCCTAAGGTGAGGATCGCAAATCCAGGAGCTTCCAGGGGACATTGGGACAGCTTCTTTTCTGGATTTCTCTGTTTATTCCCAGAAGACGCTTGTGTTTGGCAGAAGAATAGCAGCCCCCAAAGATTTCCATGTCTTAATCCCTGAAACTTGTAAATATGTTACCTTACATAGCAATTGGGGCTTTGCACATGTGATCAGGGTGAGGGTACTGAGATGAGGACGTGACCCTGAATACCTGGGTGGGCTCAGTCTAATCCCAGGGGTCCTTGTAAATTACAGAGGGTGGTAGGAGAGCCAGAGTCAGAGAGGAGACCTGCTGTAGGTGTCACAGGTAGGAGGTGTGGGGTCCACGTGCCTAGGAACATGGTGGCCTCTAGAAACTGGAACAGAGAAGGATGGGCCTCTCCCCAGAGCTTCCAGGAGGACTGAAACCCTCCAAGCACCTTCATTTTAGGGCTTCTGGCCCCCAGAAGGATAAGATAATAATTTGTGTTATTTTGAGCCACTAATTTTGTAGGAATTTTTTTTTTTTTGCAGCAAGAGGAAACTAATACAAAACGAGGCGTGTCTGGGTTGGCTACATATGAACACGAGGAGTCATAACAACTTGTGGAAACTGCTTATTTTTTTTTCTTTTGAAACAGAGTCTCATTCTGTCACCCAGGCTGAAGTGCAGTGGCGTGATCTCAGCTCACTGCAACCTCTATCTCCTGGGTTCAAGCAATGCTCCTGCCTCAGCCTCCCAAGAAGCTGGGACTACAGGTGTGTGCCACCATGCCCAGCTAATTTTTTTTTTTATATTTTTAGTGCAGATGGGGTTTCACCATGTTAGCCAGGAAGGTCTCGATCTCCTGACTTCGTGATCCACCTGCCTCGGCCTGCCAGAGTGCTGGGATTACAGGGGTGAGCCAGTGTACCCGGCCACAAACTGCTTATTCTTTATGCCAATTTACTATCATGGTAGATGATAATGATAGTTTTAAAAGTAAAGCTCTGGTGGATCCCAGAGCTGCTCATCTGTGACCCCATTTTGCTACTCACTGTGCAAATAGGAAGCATCACGTCACCCAGCATCTTTCACTGCATGTGCAGTGAGGCCTTGGTAACATTTCCCCATTTCATAAAGGTGTATGAGAAGCTGATAAAATATAAAATGCCTTTCAATTATTTATGTTCCTGGGAGCTATATGTAGCTTAAACTTAGATATGAGGTAAGGCGTGTCTGGGCCAAATATTAGCAGCCCTTTGTGTCGACCTAACCTCCAGCTAAGGAAGGGAAAAAGACTGGCCCTCTCACATAGTCTCCTGCTGAGGGTAAGAGTTTCAAGACAGTTGTCTGCAGTGACGCTGGAAAACGAAACCCAATGTGGCAACACCAACGTGTTAAAACTTGGCCCATTGTGTGTTCCTCAACCATCTGTGGTTCCTCCATGTTCTCTCCAATAGAAGAAACAGTCCTTATGTTAGGGTGCAGCTTCCAAATGCCCTGGAAGGCATCTGCACTGCTCCGTTTGTGTTGGACAAGAACAGGGTGTGCGGATACACTTGATATCCAGCCTGAAGAAATACACAAACCGAGGGAGGGAAACACTGAGGACTGAGTTTTTCAAGCTGGCTCCAGTGGCCAACTGACTTTGTTTCTGTACATTTAGAAATAGTATAGAAAACAGGCCTTGAAACGGGATTCATACCAAATGAATACTTAAGGTTTTAAAGCCTGTGCTAACAAGTTGTTTATAATTTAATCTGCCCCTTCTGTTAACAACATGAGATAATTTTGCAATTTCTCTTGACCATGCCATCAAATAGAGAGTAAAATGGGATTTAATAGTCCAGCTAGCTGGCAATCACAGAAAAGTATGCAATTCTCCAACATGTTAAGATATCATAGGTAAAATTATTTATGGACTTGAAATCACTCTATGACACAGGGTTAATAATATAAATCCCAGCAGCATAAATGAGAAAAATATCAAGATCATGAGGAAATTTGAGGAAAAGCATTATGTATTTCTTGATATCCCTATTCCATTTAACTCTTTCCATTCAAGTTGGTATCTAATTTAGTTTTTGAGCTGAAGGGAAAATAATTCTATGGTATAATTTTAAAATAAATGGCCAGTTGGTTAATTGCATGGTTTGACTGTGTTCCCACCCAAATCTCATCTTGGAATTGTAGCTCCCACAATTCCCACATGAGGTGGTAGGGACGCACTGGGAGGTCATTGAATGCTGGGGGTGGGTCTGTCCCGTGCTGTTCTCATGATAGTAAGACTCACAAGATCTGATGGTTTTATAATGGGGAATTCCCCTGCACACGTGCTCTTGCCTGCCACCGTGTAAGATGTGACTTTACACTTCCTTTGCCTTCCGCCATGATTCTGAGGCCTCCCCAGCCATGTGGAACCATGTGAGTCCATTAAAGCTTTTCTTCTTTATAAATTAACCAGTCTTGGGTATGTCTTTATTAGCAGCATGAAAATGGACTAATACAGTTACTCATCCTATCAAAAGAACAATCAAAAAATACAAGACAAGTAAGTTCTAAAGATCACTGTTTAGCAACATTTGCTAAGAGGGCAGATCTCATATTTTCTTTACAACCCCCACCCCACCTCCCACACAAAGCAAAGGCATACAAGGAAACTTCCGGCGGTGATGAGTGTGTTTCTTCTCTTGATCGTGGGGATGGGACTATTACAGATATGCATATATCCAAACCCATCAAATTGTGTACCTTGAGTATGTGCAGTGCACTTTTCTGTATACCAAATATACCTCTATAAAGCCTTTTTTAAGAAAAAAGAATCTTTTATAATTTTTGCTATTTTTATTGGCACCAAAATAGATACATTTCCAACCAACAAAGAGATAATGGAAACCTGTTTTTCTGTAGGATGCTTTCTTCTCAGTCTCTTAGATTCAGGCCGTTTCATGTGCTCCTCTATGTCACGTCACTGAGGATGAGAGAATTAGGACCCATGAGTATTTTTTACAAGCACAGAGATATCACAAGCCTTGAAAATAGGCATACAATAAAATTGTTTCTGCAAAAGCAGCCAATAGAAAATGAGGAAAATTAAGAGATTTATGACCCTTTGTAGAAAGATAACTGCATTCATACAACGTGTGTGGGTGTGTGTGTGTGTGTGTGTGTGTGTGTGCGTGCGCGCGCCGTGGTCTGGTTGAGCATTAAGGACCTTACCAGAGTTTATCATTTGACCAAAACATGAATTATTTTTACATTCGAATCACAATAATACTTTGCTAACTAGCTCTGTAGTACCTTAATATGTTTAAATGCCCACCCCCCTGCCCCGCTTTTTTAAGGATATGGCTGTGGGAAACAGAAGTGGCGTGACAGAAGGGAACAGCAGAGTTCTCTGCAGCATGACCCAGAAAGCCTCTCCCTGCTCAACTGTTGTCCAGCACCCGGTCCTCCCCTGGGGAGGGCTCTGCAGCTGTGAGCACCCTCTAAGGACTGACACTTGGTAGGTCGACTGTACAGCAGTCCCTCTGCTCTGCTAACGAGCAGAGCCTGTGAAACGGCTGCTCAAGGTAAGCAGGGATGATGCTGTCATTTTTGTCTCCATTAAAACATCTACCTCTGTCGTTTTCAGCTCCCCTTCCCGTGCCCCTCCCTCCAGGTGGATAACCCCAGTCTTCAGGACCCTGAGCTAGCTAAGTCACTCAAGCTTGTTCTTTGATGGAAAGGGGAAGGGTCTGACCTTGGCTATTTATATTTATTGCTTAATTACTTCATTAGAATTTAGATTAGATTCAATTAGATTAAACACAAATGTTCAGAAAAAGCATTTCAATTTGTGGCTTTTTTTCTCTCACTGTGGAATGATGGATTTTGTCATCACTGGTGAAAAGAGTTTGAGGTATTTATAAGAAAGAGAAAAAGTGTCCTGGGAAATGAGAGTTTCTGCCTTCTTGCTCAAGCAGAATGAAAAATAAACTTTAAAAGATGACAGGGAGAAAATTCTGATTTTTGAAGTTCTTTCTCCAAAACTCCCTCTCTTCTGATAAGAGTGAGCAAAAGATGGGCTCTTCGACGTGTGGTGCTGGGAAGCTCACGTGGAGGTTTGGAAACCAGGAGACTGACCCATCCGTCCGTGTCGGTCCTTTCGTAACAGATCCGCTTCCACCCCCCTTCTATTCCGTGGGTTTAAATGCTGTACTTTCTGATACATGTTCATGTTGTTTGTATCATGTCTTGGAATTCATTCACTTATTTAGTGGATGTTAACTGAGGGTCCACCTTAGAATTAGACAAGAACAAAAATAGACAAAAGCTATTTTTACCATCATGGAGCTTATACGCGAGCATTAAAAAGTCAAATGCCGAGCAGCAAGCGTAATAACAAGCAGATCGCATGGTGTGTTAGAAGGTGTCAGAGCTGAGAAGAAGGGCAGCAGTGTAATGTGCTCGGGGTTCTCAGGGCACGGGGGTGGGGGCGCCTTGATATGGGGTGGTCCGGAAAGGACTTATGGAAGGGGACATTGGTGAAAGATATGACAACGTTGAGGGGTTTAGCCACACAGACATCTGAGGGATGGGGGTTCCAGGCCGCGCGAGAGGAGGGCAAAGGCTCAGGACACAAGATGCCTGCTGTGCTCAAAGGACGGAGCATGTGGCTAGAGCTGAGAGGCCCAGGCAGAAGCTCACAGAAGGCTTCGGGGAGGCCGGAGGGGCCGAGGGATGCAGGGCCTCCTCAGCCACCATGAAGATTTAGACTTTCACTCCGAGTGAAACGAAGAGGAGCCTCTGAGAGTTTTGAGCAGGGAGTGAATCACAGGATCTAACTTTCTTTTCATACATCACCTGGCTGCTGTCCTGAGGCAAGGACAGTTACGGGGCGAGGATGTAAGTGGAGAGGCCAGTTAGAAGACATTACAGCAATCCAGGAGAAAGATGACAGTAGTTTTCATCAATAGCATCGCGATAGGGGTGGCAGGAAGTGGTTGGATTCTAGACATGATTTTATTTCTTTATTTATTTTAGAGATAGGGCCTTGCCTTGTCACCCAGGCTGGAGCGTAGTGGTGCAATCGTGGCTCACTGCAACCTAGGACTCCTGGACTCAAGCGATCCTCCCACCTCAGCCTCCAGAGCAGCTAGGTCTGCAGGTGTGCCACCACACCCAGGTAAGTTTTTAATAATTGCTGTAGAAATGGGACCTCACTATGTTGTCTTGAACTCCTGGGCTCAAGTGATCCTTCCTCCTCAAGCCTCCCAAATTGCTAGGGTTATAGGCATGAGCCACAATGCCTGGCCTGCATGTTATTCTCAATCCAGTAGGACTTCCTGATGGATTGGAAATCAGGTGTGAGGGGAGAGGAGTCAGGGATGATTTCAAGGTTTGAGGGCTGAACAACAAGAGGGGCGAAGAGAGAGAGATAAATTTGTAAATAGACGTTTGCTGGAAGAGACCAGGAGCTCACTGTTGGACCTGACAAACCTGAGATGTTAGACGTCCAGGTGGAAATGTGAAACAGACAGCTGGATAAACGAGTCTGGGGCCCAGGAGAGATGGCAGAGCTGAAGATGTGATTTTGAGTCACTAGCATATATATGACACTTAAAACCAGGACAGGGGATGAGATCACGTCAAGTGAGACAGAGAAGAGAAGAGGACCCAGGACTGAGACCTGGAACACTCTAATTTTAAAAGGTCAGAATGATGAAGAAGAATGAACAAAAAAGCTTGAAAAGGCATAGCCTGTGAAGTAGGAGTTAGCCAGGCAAGTGTGATCTCCTGGAAGCCAAGTGAATATCTCCCCCGTGGGGAGGAAACAAGACTTGATAGATGATTAGATTTCCAGCTCAGCTGCTTGCTTGTTTCACACTGACACCATGAATGCGGTGCATTTTGCAGTGCTTGAAGTTTGCATAGCTCTTACAAATACTCTCTAATTTTATACTCAAACAGGAGGAGGTAGGTAGTCAGGCCTTAGATTTACCGTTTTATAGATGCAAAATCTAAGGTGCAGAAAGATTAAGTGATTGGTTTTAGGGTTTTGGATTTTTTCACTCCCATAAAAGAAAGAGCCAGAATTAGAACAGTCTTTCCAGCCTAGATCCTCGTTCTTTCTTCCACCACTTGCAGCCACATCTGACTTCAGTGTTTTTCAATCCACTTAGGACTGGCCTGTGGGTCGGTGTGGCTGGAGGTGCCGTGAAAGCTTCCTGATCCTCAGGACGCTTTGGCCTAAATTCAATCCACTAGTTTATAAACTCTGAGTGCCCCCCTTGCTCTTATGCTGCCCCGAAGGGCCTGTACTCTCTGAATGCTTATAAAGTGTCTATGAATGCACAAACCGTCTTGAAATATTAACGAAGATTTCCAGGAAGTGTCCAAGAGCTGCTCCAGAGCAAGAACTATCTGGGCCTCACAGTGCAGGGCTGGCTGAAAGCCCACGTGTCAGACTCTTCTTCAAATCCTGGCTCCACTCAATAGTGTGTCATGTGGATTTGAGGAGAGTTATTTAAATCTCTCTATACCAGAAAATTTCTCATCTGTAAAATGGAATGAGAATAAGACAAATAAATAGAAACTCACAGAGGTTTGAAATGCAGAAAATGAGACAATACATGTAAAGCCTCTAGAATGACTCTAACACCACATGGTCGGTGAATTTATTTCTGTTTCTCTGGTATTAATCAGTTTCCTGCCGAAAGTTAGGTTTCAATCAGTGTCTCATAAGAGGAAAAATAAGGGAATGAATGAACAAAGCCTGATCAGTAGATATCACAGCAATATTTTGAAGAAAATCAGAAGGTATGCTTAGTGCCATTTGAGTCCAAACTAATGTCCCCTTGAAGGAAAGGAATTTAGCTAAGAGCTTACTATGACTGCGTCCAAAGCAAGAATGCCAAGCCTTGAAGGAGCAGGTGAGACAGGAGGTGGAGCAGGTAGAGGGGCATTTGAGCATCAACAGGAAGTGGAGCAGGTAGACGGGCATTGGAGCATCCACAGGAAGTGGAGCAGGTAGAGGGGGCATTTGAGCATCCACAGTGGGTGGAGCAGGTAGACGGGCATTTGAGCATCAACAGGAAGTGGAGCAGGTAGATGGGCATTGGAGCATCCACAGGAAGTGGAGCAGGTAGATGGGCATTGGAGCATCCACAGGAAGTGGAGCAGGTAGAGGGGGCATTTGAGCATCCACAGTGGGTGGAGCAGGTAGAGGGGCATTTGAGCATCCACAGTGGGTGGAGCAGGTAGAGGGGCATTTGAGCATCCACAGTGGGTGGAGCAGGTAGAGGGGGCATTTGAGCATCAACAGGAAGTGGAGCAGGTAGAGGGGCATTTGAGCATCCACAGTGGGTGGAGCAGGTAGAGGGGCATTTGAGCATCCACAGTGGGTGGAACAGGTAGAGGGGCATTTGAGCATCCACAGTGGGTGGAGCAGGTAGAGGGGGCATTTGAGCATCAACAGGAAGTGGAGCAGGTAGAGGGGGCATTTGAGCATCCATGGAGGCTGCGTATGTGCAGATCCCTACGCTTCTGTTCCTGCTGGCACACACGAGAGATGGATTTTGGAGACCATAGAAACTGGAGACAGAAAGCATGTGGAAAATGAATCCATGAGTCCATAAATGTAAGTTAAATTATTTGATTTATCTTCCTTTTATACTTTCCTGGAAGCGAAGATTTTTTCCCCCTCTATTCTGTATATGGAATAGGTACCAGAGTAGGAAAATGGTTTAAAAAAAAATTAAAGTGGAATAGTTACCAGTGAGATGAGGGGAGAAGATGGAACTTAGGTATTACAAAAATTGGATAATCACTTCTAAAAATTCTGAGAGAGGTCTATTTCTTAGTAAACAGGAAGGCCATTTTTGGCTCTGATAAAGACACTTATTTCACTCTGTAAATTTCTATACCTAAGGCATGACTTTGGAGAAATAGGAACTTATATTTCAATTCAAGTTCTGTCATTTCTTGCTAGATAACTTTGATCTTTTAAAAATAAATTTCTCTGGCCACCACTTTCCTTATCTGTAATATGAAATATTAATCCTAATTAAGAGAATTATATTGAAGACTTAAATACAAAGTCTTATAAAAAGAACCCAGTGATATATACCTGCCTAATTTAAACTCAGTGTTAAGACCTCTCTCACTTCCCACAAGAGATAACACATTTAAATTTATATTTTAAGTGCTAGTCAGTAAAAAGTGAAGACATTCTAAACTTTCGTCGATGAATTCAGGCTTACTCTCTGTGTGCCCAACACACTGGACACTGTCCTCTGTTTTTCCAAGTATTGACTTGAATTATAATTATTTACACATTTGTTGTATATAAGTTGGGTATATACATCTAAGCTATGGAACCTAACTGTGGCTGATTCAGCAACAAAAGAGGACGGTTTATTCATAGAATATTATTCCTTCTTGAAACTCTACTAAAAAGCAGTAAAGACTTTTTAAAGGCATAAACTCATAATTCCAAAGGATCAAAGGATGAGAAATCAGCCACAAAGTGACGGGAACCAGAAAGCAGAACAAGAGTGGTAACTGAGTAATAAGACCTAAGAAGTATAAATTATAAGCCAGCACAGAGGAATTACGTAAACCCACAGAGCTCTTACCCTTCTGAATACATAAAACCTAAGAGCTGGGTTTTGGGTGAGATTAGAAGGCCCTTCTTTGAGGAAGGTAATAAATTCCAAAGGCAAGGGTGGAGGGATTACCAAATACAGTTCCCTAACCAGATCGTTATATAGTGAAATTTCAGCTCTAAATATGGCAGACAATCAGGGATTATCATACATTTGAGGAAAGTCTCTAACATGAAAGGATCTAAACAAAGAGAAAGAAGCAGCTTGGAGAAGACAGACTATGCATGGTACAGAGACTGGCACTCCCAAAGTCAGCGGGTAGCCGTGCCGTCAGAGGCAGACGGGCAGACTTCACACTGTGCGAAAGGCCAGGCGGCCATTCCGAGGAAAAGCAGAGCTTCTGCAAATACTCAGACGCCGTGGACGGATTGAAAGATAAAGTTAAGAAAATCTCCCAGAAATTAGACTCAAAAGAAGTCTAATTTAATGGAAAGAAAAAAAGGCAAGAGTATTAAAGATCACTTTCGGAAAGTTTAACAGCCAAATAACAAAAGTTCCGAAAATAGAAACAAGAAATGTGAAGAAAATGATCTCATTTGAGAAATATTTAAAGGCTTCTTCCCGAAACTGAAGAAGGTAAATTTGCAGACTGAAAGATCCCGTGAGTGCTTGGCAAAATGGGACAAAAATAGACTCAAATCAAGGCACATTCTTATGAAATTTAGGAGCGCCAGGAACAAAGAGAACATTCTAGAAGAATTTAGAAGACAAGGCAAAAACAGGGCACAAAGGATTAAAAATCAACATGGCTCCAGTCTTCTCAGCATCAACACCACAATGTCAACAATGCTTGCCCACTACCCTTAACATTCTGAAGGAGGACGAATCCCGAACTCAACTCTGTACCCAACACAGTATAATTACAAATAACAGTAAACTTGACAAATTCAAATATTCAGAATTTCAAAAAATTTACCTACCACGAATCCTCTGTCAGAAAGCTATTGAAGAACATGACCTCCCCAAATGAAAGAGTAATTCAGGGCGTTAACAGTGCAGTCCGAGGAGCACGAACTCCCAAGGAAGATGGTGAGGGGCAACTCAGCACAACAGCTGAGGACCAGGACTCTTTGGAAAGAACCAGCCCCAGTGCAGAACTCAGAAGGTTTCACGAGAGATGCCGCCCAAGAGATGGAACTGATACAACACGTTGTTTACAAGGAGATTTAGACAATGAAGGGAGAGGTTAGGGTGTGTAAGTGGTAATGAAAAGCTAAGTGACCAGTGACAAAAACATGATTATCATATTAAAAATTCAGGAAAAGATATCATTATAGTATAGATGAGTATACACTACAGGTTTCAGCTCTAAAAAATATTTAACACTGATCCAAGCAAAAATACGATTACATTTTGGATCTATTTAACTATACTGGAAGGGCAGATGAATGACATGTATACGTATGTGTAAGGAGGTGGTGGGGAACTTCTGTGTTCCATTCGGGACAATCAATCTTGTTCTTTTCTTAAAAAAAATTCAAAAAATATTTTAAACTGCATATAATTGTACATATTCATGGGATACATAATAAGCTTGCAATGCATGTAATGTATGGTGATCAGGATAATTGGCATATCCACCATCTCACACATTCATATTTCTTTGGATTGGAATATTTCAATATCCTCCTTGCTGTTTGAAACTGGATAATATAGTTGGCTGTAGTCATCCTGCAGTGCAGCAGAACACGAGAACTTACTCCTCCCATCTATCTGTAGTTTTGTGTTTTTTGCAAACCTCTCCCTCTCCCCTCCCAGCTTCTAGTATCTTTATTTCACTTTTTCCTAACTTCTATGAGATCCACCTTTTTTCAGTTTCAACATGTGAGTAAGAACATGCCCGCCTTGTTTTTAACCCTTGTCCTCCCCTTACTTTCGTGGCAGCCTTAAACTTCCCCATCAATCTCTGCTTATTTAGAGGTTCCTTGGTCCTTCCTCTATCCCTAATATGATTTCGGGTCCTTTCTCTTCTATTTCTAGACCTGTTTATTAATAATCTCATGTACTTTTATTTCAGCTGTCAATTGAAAGCTGACAACTCTAAAATCTGAAATCTGCAGTCAAGACTCTACAGCCAGCTTTAGCCTCTCTCTCATTTTCTGCTCATTTTCTCAAGGACACCTCTACCCGGGCACACTCGTAACCTTATGTACAGCACGTTCACACTGCAGTCCTGCCCGCGCCTGTCCTCCACCTGCGGATTTTAGCTTCAGTGACACCCTCACGTCACTCAGTCTAAACACTGTGTGCCGTCTTTTGTCCCTCCCTCTCCCTCAATCCCCGTATCTATCCTTTTTTTTTTTTTTATTCTTATTATTTTATTGCATTTTAGGTTTTGGGGTACATGTGCAGAGCATGCAATACAGTTGCATAGGTACACACATGGCAGTGTGTTTTGTTTGCTTTCACCCCTTCACCCACATTTGGCGTTTCTCCCCAGGCTATCCCTCCCCACCTTACCCTCCCACTGGCCCTCCCCTTTTCCCCCCAATAGACCCCAGTGTTTAGTACTCCCCTCTCTGTGTCCATGTGTTCTCATTTTTCATCACCCGCCTATGAGTGAGAATATGCGGTGTTTCATTTTCTGTTCTTGTGTCAGTTTGCTGAGGATGCCCGTATCTATCCTTTAAGCCTCGACATTGTTTTTATCTCCGAATGAGTTTTCCACTCTGTCTCCTTCTTTCTACCGTCACGGACACTCTTGTTTGGTGACTTGGCTGTTAGTCAGCTGGATGACTGTTAGTTAGCCCGCCTGTGCCCCGCCCCCACCCTTCTCTCCAACACAATGGTGAGTTTTAATGTCAATTACAACTTTGGCCATGTCTGTTAATTGGTTTGGAAAGATGACTTGACTATAAGATAACGTTTAAACTCCATCTCCAGGCATATAGACTCTTACGTAACTGGAACCCCGGCTGGTTTTGACCCTCACTCTTGTGCTTTGTATGTGTCTACACACACACCATGGTTTCTTCCTCCATCACTTGTCTTCTATTGCACTTTCTCCCTGGACTTCACCCCATTCATGGAGTTATATTCTTGGCACGTAAAAAGTTTCAACAAATATGTGTTGGAAAGGAAGGAGAAATGAAGTGGAAAAGGTAGGGTGGAAGAACAGCTTCCCCTTTCTAACGTCTCTGTTTCTTTTCAGACCTGTGCCACTCATTCATGCCTCTCAATACTTAGCTCTAAAATCATCGCTTCTTGGAAGCCTTCTTTGATTCCTTCCCCAAGGCCAGTAAAATATCTTCTTTTCTGGCAAAAATTAATGTGTACAACTCTACAGTGTATTTACCATGTTATACGGTACTGCAATTCCACCAGACTGTGAATCGGTTAAAGGCAGGGCAACCCTGCATGTTCCATTTTAGCGTCACAAAAAGGCTTGACATGTAAAGAAAGTTGGTGAATGTTTTGGGATTCAATTTTTAACTTTTACAGATACTCCAGGACAAATGACAAGTGAAAAAGCTGAACAGTAATTTCAGGAACCTGAGACGCGTCCCCAGAGCAGCGGGCTGTCAGGGGGCTTTGCCGTCTTCTGACCTCAGGCTGCTCCGCTTTAGAGGACCACAGCCTACGATTCATGTCAGATACGTAAGCATCATTTATGCATCTATAAAACCTGTGTTAATTTAAAGATTTAAAAAATTCCAGATGAAGTCTTTTAGAAAATCAAAACAATTGAAGCAGCATGATTTTGAGAGTGTAATAGATTCAGGAAATACACTCTGTGGCCGTGTTTATTAGTAATGACAGGTTATAGAGATAATAGAATTATACATGCTTCAAAAGGACAAATAGATGCAGTATCTGCAGGGCCCAGCATAAGTCATTTAAGATAACATTATAATCATTGATTTTATTTCATTTCCATCATCAAAGGGAATTCTTGTGCTTGGTGGATACACAAATTCAACATTTTCTCAGCAATCCCACTCCAAGCAATCATTAAATAATGTACAGGAAAAAAAATGTAAAGGGTAGTTGTTTTAAATTATTTACTTCAAGATTTGTGGCATGGTTATTACTCTTTCCCCAGTGAGTTAATATAGGAAAAACAGCCTATGAGGCAATAGAATAAAGTAAGAGTAAGGGAAATGTCCAGCGTTCTATCATTTCAGCCAAGAGAACACACCGTGCTTCATGCAGGCAGTCTGAGCGCTCCGGGCTACACGCAGGCAGTCTGAACGCACCGTGCTTCATGCAGGCAGTCTGAGCGCTCCGTGCCACACGCAGGCAGTCTGAGCACTCCGGGCTACACGCAGGCAGTCTGAACACACCGTGCTACATGCAGGCAGTCTGAGCGCTCCGTGCTACACCCAAGCAGTCTGAGCGCTCCGTGCCACACCCAAGCAGTCTGAGCGCTCCGTGCTACACCCAAGCAGTCTGAGCGCACCGTGCCACACGCAGGCAGTCTGAGCACTCCGGGCTACACGCAGGCAGTCTGAGCACTCCGGGCTACACGCAGGCAGTCTGAGCACTCCGGGCTACACGCAAGCAGTCTGAGCGCACCGTGCCACACGCAGGCAGTCTGAGCGCTCCGTGCTACACGCAGGCAGTCTGAGCACTCCGGGCTACACGCAGGCAGTCTGAGCGCTCCGTGCTACACGCAAGCAATCTGAACGCACCGTGCTACACGCAGGCAGTCTGAACACACCGTGCTACATGCAGGCAGTCTGAGCGCTCCGTGCTACACCCAAGCAGTCTGAGCGCTCCGTGCTACACCCAAGCAGTCTGAGCGCACCGTGCCACACGCAGGCAGTCTGAACACACCGTGCTACATGCAGGCAGTCTGAGCGCTCCGTGCTACACCCAAGCAGTCTGAGCGCTCCGTGCTACACCCAAGCAGTCTGAGCGCTCCGTGCTACACCCAAGCAGTCTGAGCGCACCGTGCTACACGCAGGCAGTCTGAGCGCTCCGTGCTACACCCAAGCAGTCTGAGCGCTCCGTGCTACACCCAAGCAGTCTGAGCGCACCGTGCCACACGCAGGCAGTCTGAACACACCGTGCTACATGCAGGCAGTCTGAGCGCTCCGTGCTACACCCAAGCAGTCTGAGCGCTCCGTGCTACACCCAAGCAGTCTGAGCGCACCGTGCCACACGCAGGCAGTCTGAACACACCGTGCTACATGCAGGCAGTCTGAGCGCTCCGTGCTACACCCAAGCAGTCTGAGCGCTCCGTGCTACACCCAAGCAGTCTGAGCGCACCGTGCCACACGCAGGCAGTCTGAGCGCTCCGTGCTACACCCAAGCAGTCTGAGCACTCCGGGCTACACGCAGGCAGTCTGAGCACTCCGGGCTACACGCAAGCAGTCTGAGCGCACCGTGCCACACGCAGGCAGTCTGAGCGCTCCGTGCTACACCCAAGCAGTCTGAGCACTCCGGGCTACACGCAGGCAGTCTGAGCACTCCGGGCTACACCCAAGCAGTCTGAGCGCTCCGTGCTACACGCAGGCAGTCTGAGCAGTCCGGGCTACACGCAGGCAGTCTGAGCGCACCGTGCCACACGCAGGCAGTCTGAGCGCTCCGTGCTACACGCAGGCAGTCTGAGCACTCCGGGCTACACGCAGGCAGTCTGAGCGCACCGTGCTACACGCAAGCAATCTGAACGCACCGTGCTACACGCAGGCAGTCTGAACACACCGTGCTACATGCAGGCAGTCTGAGCGCTCCGTGCTACACCCAAGCAGTCTGAGCGCTCCGTGCTACACCCAAGCAGTCTGAGCGCACCGTGCCACACGCAGGCAGTCTGAACACACCGTGCTACATGCAGGCAGTCTGAGCGCACCGTGCCACACGCAAGCAGTCTGAACCCACCATGCTTAAAACAGTCAACGCACGTCCTATTAATAGATGATGCTCCCTGCCTCGGTGGTGGCCAAATGGCTGTTTTTAGCCTGGTCAATGTTTCTGATGCTACTCTCCTTCCCTAGCCTTAATTCTTTGCTAGCCGTTTTCTGCCTTTCTGTTCTCCACATGGTAGCTATCTACTCATCTGCCCAGCTTGGGAATTCAATGCCAACGATGCCAACATAGCAAGATAGAAGGAATGAAGAGATGTTAAATAACTGCCAACCTTTGAAGCAAGAACATTTGCTTGGGTAGTTTGCTGAGACTAGCTTGCTCAGAATATGCATTGTCAACTGCTAACCGTGTAAAAGTGAATTCTTGACCTCATTACATTCTTCTATTTAATCGGTCTTTTAAAGAATACTTTATACGACAATACAGATCAGGCACCCATGGGATGTGTCTAAATGACAAATCAGTTCCAGCTTAGGCTTGTCTGTCACAGATGCAAAGTCTCAGCATCCAGACCACCTTCTCATCTGGTCTTTTATTGTCACTGAATGTGCTTTAAACCCCTGACGATTTTAGGAAGGAATTTAGCATGCAGAAAGGGTAGGGCACAAAGATCGAAAGACAAGACACAGAGTGATAAGCAGGGTCTCCTAAGCAATGTCAAGGAATTAAGACTTTATCCTACATGTCTAAGATGAATTACCACCATTTTATATGACCCAAGACAAGTTGTTTAAAATGGAGTAAAAAGCAAAGCTAGAGCTTGTTAAAGGAAAACAGTTTAGACTTGAGTTCCTACAGCTGGAACTATCGAAAATGTATTTGTTCATTCAGAAAGCATCCACACGTGTTGTAGGTCTGCCGTAAGTCACATACTGCAGTAACAGCAGGACGGCGGCAATGAACAGTGTTGGCAGGATCTCTAGTCTCATGATTAAATCGAATACAAAATCCCAATACGTCAATGAACACAATATGAAAAGGAAAATAAACAGTGTATGACAGCACTTAAGAAGGGAACTTAATCCAGTCACGGAGGCAGGAGTGGTCAGAGTGGGCCTTCTGGAAAAAAATCATCGTGTTCGCGTATTAATTTGCTGAAGGAAAGTCAGGAAGTATAGAGTGGAACGCCCCAGCACGCACGCAGAGAAAGGGTGCGTCCTTTTAGGAAGAAGTTCAGTGCAGATAAAGGGTAGAAAGGTTGAAAGACAAAAGACACGGAGAGGACCAACGGGCCCTGAGAATTGTAGATGAAGGATCACTGTTTTAGGTGAATCATAGATGAGGGATTGCTGTTTTAGGTGAATTATAGATGAGGGATCGCTGTTTTAGGTGAATCATAGATGAGGGATTGCTGTTTTAGGTGAATTATAGATGAGGGATCGCTGTTTTAGGTGAATCGTAGATGAGGGATCACTGTTTTAGGTGAATCATAGATGAGGGATCACTGTTTTAGGTGAATTGTAGATGAGGGATCACTGTTTTAGGTGAATCATAGATGAGGGATCACTGTTTTAGGTGAATTGTAGATGAGGGATCACTGTTTTAGGTGAATCGTAGATGAGGGATCACTGTTTTAGGTGAATCATAGATGAGGGATCACTGTTTTAGGTGAATTGTAGATGAGGGATCACTGTTTTAGGTGAATCATAGATGAGGGATCACTGTTTTAGGTGAATTGTAGATGAGGGATCACTGTTTTAGGTGAATTGTAGATGAGGGATCACTGTTTTAGGTGAATCGTAGATGAAGGATCACTGTTTTCTATTTTAGGTGAATCGTAGATGAGGGATTGCTGGTTTAGGTGAATCGTAGATGAAGGATCACTGTTTTAGGTGAATCGTAGATGAGGGATCACTGTTTTAGGTGAATTGTAGATGAGGGATTGCTGTTTTAGGTGAATTGTAGATGAAGGATCACTATTTTGGGTGAATCGTAGCTGAGGGATCACTGTTTCGGCTGAATCATAGATGAAGGATCACTGTTTTAGGTGAACTTAGATGAAGGATCACTGTTTTCTATTTTAGGTGAATCGTAGATGAGGGATCGCTGTTTCAGGTGAACTGTAGGTGAGGGATCACTCTTTTAGGTGAATTGTAGATGAAGGATCGCTGTTTTAGGTGACCCAAGAGAAGGTGTTTAAAATGGAACATCAAAGAGGTGAGACTTTACCCTAAAAGCAATGAAAAGTGACACGGGGATTTGTGGAAGAAAATCCTGTGACACAGTCATGATTTATTGTCTCCAGATCTATGTGAAATACAATTTGAAAAGGAAACGAAATTGTTGTTATAATGAAGTTAAGAGAAAGAAGGGCACGAAGTTGCATAATATCTGTGGAGGCAGAAAGAAATAGACGGAATACAGAATGTTGAGGAGGTAACTCTGGCAAGATTTGGTGAAAGGTTTAACGTGAAGAAGAGGAACGCAGTCCTAGGTTTGGCTTGAGCATACGACTTGGAGATGGTATTATCCTCTGAGTTATAGAAGCTAGGCAGTTCAGCAGGAAGAGGAACTTTTCAGTCAGAGACTGGAGTACCTGTGGGACATACACACGGTGAAAGCCTGTAGCGTAAACTCACGAGAACAATTTGGGTTGAGAAATAAAGGTGTGGGGTCAGCGTAGAGATTGCAAGTACACCTGTGGAGTAACGTGTGCAGAGTTGGAAAAAGTCATTGGGGCCACAACAATAGGGGCAGAGCAGAGGAAGAGAGGTGTACACAGGAGGCTTGGCAGGTGTGGCCAGAAAGGGAAGAGAAAGGGGAGATGAGTATTTTTCTTTCTCAAGAAG